GATTATCAACGCCTCAATCTACTCAAGACTCTATAAAAATGTTAAACACCAAATAGTCTCAATAATTTCACGTTCAACCTATAGTGAATAGGTATTTCCAGCCACAGATATTAGTACGGGTGCTAATAATTTTGTATCCCAACCACAGATTTTTATTTTCCTCTACGTCGGCATGTGTGGCCAGAAATCTGTGGATAACTTCACGCCAATTGAATTTATTTATTTCATCGAGCCTTAATTTTGTTTTAAATTGTCGGTTTGTGTTGAAACAAAGTTTGACTTCAGTTTTTAATTCCCTTATAAAATAGACGTATAAGTTTAAAAATGTTCGTATAGTACGAAACTGCAGTAACGTTAGTTACGAATAAAAGTGGTAAAAAACATAAAAAGTTTCATTTCTTTTTTTTTTCATTAGAGAGCGAGATTATCCATAACTCCAATAACTTTTGAGCATTCATTAATTAACAAGTCAAAATATACGAATGGAATTGGAGATGAAATGTAACATGAAGGCAAGCTACTTAATAATCCCTCAGATATTTTTGATGGTTGATGGTTTCTTCAGTGGTTCTTATATAGTGTCATGCGAACAACAGTAGTGATATTCCCACCTTACTAATTAAAAACTTAAGTATTGAAGATGTTTATCATACCCTAAAAAATTAAAGCCTAAATTTAATGCGGGACCTGATCGTATTCTACCATTCATTATTAAAGATTGTGCCTCAGCTCTGGTTGAACCACTAACAACTCCAATAAATATATACCTGAAAACATCAACTGTACCATCAATATGAAAAAGGTCGAAAGTCTGTCTAATTTTCAAAAAAGTGAAATAAAAATTACAGACCAATTTCTTTGAGATGCTTTTTGAGAAGACAATCTATTGTCATGTCAGCAACATTATTAGCCCCAATCAACACGGTTTCATGAAAGGACGTTCAACCACCACCAATCTTGGAACAATCTCTCAATGTATTGCAGAGGGTATGGATTGTCAGTCTCAGACTGATGTCATCTACACTGATTTTTCTAAAGCGTTCGACAGACTGGACCATGGTATCATGCTCAACAAGCTTTCAACTTTTAAGTTATCCAATGAATTAATTACCCTCTTCAAATCGTATTTTTACAACCGTAAGCTGTACGTCCAACTCAATGGCCTCAAGTCTATCAAATATACAGCCACATCTGGTGTACCACAAAGATCAAATCTAGGACTCGTACTATTCAATATGTTCCATAATGATATTGGAGGTGAGATTGATGTTAATTTCCTTTTATACGCTTCTACATTGAAATTACTTTATTTCACTTTTGTTCGATCTAGGCTGGAATATGCATCTATCATATGGAGTCCCTACTATCAGGTTCATATAAATCAACTAGAAGCCCTAAAGAGGCGCTTCCTAAAATATATATCTTTTAAACTTGAAGGCACGTATCCTACCGTAGGAATACCCTATTATGAATTGCTTGTAACTCACAATTTTTGTAGTCTCAAGGTAAGGTGTAAATAATATTCATTTCTTTTTTTATTCAAGGTCATAAACAATATCATCACCTGCTCTCAACTGTTACATATGTTAAATTTTTGGGTTCCTAGACGGTCATCTAGGAAGAGTGTCACATTTTATCTCAACACTTCCCGTACGAATATAATGAAAAAATCTCCAATTTATACAATGTGCGATACCACTAATTCTGTTAGTCATATCTTAGATATATTCAACTGCCAGATTATACGAATCAAAAGGCATTTCTTAGCTAACTGACAGTTCTGTATTTTTTTTTTAGATTTACAAATTATATTATGTAAGTACACTGTTACTCCCTATTCTGTAATTTGGTTCATCCTGTAGAATAGTGTCTGAAATAAATAAATAAATGGAGATACTTTGACCCAATTCTTCAGAAAACGAATCGGCATCAATTTGAATTAAATACGATACTAATGAAATTAATTGGTAATACGGTTCACAGATAAGGTTTCAGAGATTAGGTTCAAGTTAGTTTGTTTCTTCGTATCAATAATTGTTTTGGATTTTTCCGGAATTACTATAAAACTACTTCGTCAGAGTTGTAAAACTAATATTAGAATGGAGTAAGTAGGCGAGTCTTTGCTTACTATCTAGTGAACCAAAATAAACACTGTTTCTATTAAACGCATTTCTATCGTACGTTATTACAGCCCCGGATATTCAATTTTTTCTAGGCGGGGCAAACACTGAAAAATGCCGCCCCACCACCGCTACTTATGTTTATTTTTACCTTTACCTTTATAATTTCAGCTATTCGACGTCCAATAATTTGGACATAGGCCTTCCGGAAATAATGCATCCTTCGCTGTTCTTTCTGTGTTAAGCCAATTCATTTACAGAGATATAGACATGAATGTGTAGGATATATATTTCATACACAGCACAGGATATGATTTAAAATGAACATATTAGCAATAAAAATCAAATATAGGTAGGTATAATTGTGAATTGAAATTACAATTGTACTATTCGAGCTTCCTGGCATGATGAGGCAGAATGAACACCTACAAGATTCAAGAAGTGAGCCAAGCACCGGTACGAACTCGGTTAGCTCATTCCTTTCTGCAATCCTAGGTTGTACTCCTTTATAGATGCTGGCCATACTGGACCCATTATCATAAGGTTGGCCACGACATTGTCGAATATCTAAATCATCACAAATTCAAAAGGAGAGCGCTGCGTAGTTCTAGTGATCTCATTGAGGGTTTTGAAATTGGGGTTTTCATACAATTTATTTATTTCCAATGCTTCCACAAATTCATCTCCCTTCCTTTATTGCACGTATGGAGAAATGATGAGTTGCCCATTCGTCTGTAAAGTATGAATTTGGCCACCCTTGGAACATGCCGCCCGGGGCATATTCCCCGGCTTGTCCCATAGGTCCGGGTCTAAGTTAATAATTTATGTTAACTAAAGCAAACGTATATAGCTCTTTCCACAATAATTTCCCAAGCTTGTGAAAATAGAGGGTTGAATGTTCAAAAATGAAATGACTTGAAGATTTTCAAGACTTGCAGATATATCATTGTTCTTTGTTTCACTGATAAGCAACTTGAAACTACTCATTCCACCTAACATATCTCCTTGAATATCCTTACAATAATTGAAAATACACTCAGGTGCATAAAGAACTGCCACTTTGAAACGTTTACAAATTTTGATATAATAATAATAGATTTCAGTGTTCCAAACTTCAAAATGAAAATTTGAATACAAGGAGTACGAACATATGTTCGAGTAGTTAGACGGCAAAAGGCAGAGTTCGGTCTTGACGATAAGCTGAAGCTGTTTTTAGCCCAATTTTGATATCTTTTCAATAAATGGAAAGGAATTTATCCCTGTAGTGTTCTACACTGCAGTGTTGAACTTCGCCTTTTGGATGTTATATTCCATTTCACCCAATAAATACCATCATTATTATTTTTTTAACCGTAGTTTGCGCTNTATCTAAGTATGTAAAACTTTCGAATTAATTGCCTAGCTTCTTTGAAAAGATGGACAGTTGCAGTTTGGTTGAGAGCATGTATTGTCATGATGCATGTTATGTGGTTTTTTTTCTAATATAACATGCATAAATATTATTTCTGTTTGGTTGTGAGTCGACATTTGTCGAAAATGTTATAAATTTACTCTTTATTCAGAGACAACTTGCCATAACTTAGCCATTGTGATATTTTTATGATCCAATTCAGCTTTATCGAATAGATTATCCCAGTTTTTATCAGTAAGCAAAATTGCCGTATCATCAGCGTATGAAACAAGATGTCCTTCAAAATCTTTGATTTTTGCTATCGAGTTGATATACACAAGGAAGAAAAATTACGCCTAGAACTGTATCCTGCGGTACACCTGTTGTTATTTCAAGTGGTATGCTGCGAATGTGATCAATGTTTACTTTCTGATATCAGTCTTTTGAATAGTTTTTCAAAATGTTTAATTAGATCGTATTTTCAAGAAGTTGAACGGGAAAGTAACCTTCGAAGCTTCTTGCTCACTCCAACAAACGTTAAGTAACCCTAAAGACAAGATGTTGGGAAAATGAAAAGTCGGGGATATATGAAATGAGCCATGAGGACTGTGACAAAAAAATATATCGGCCAGACTAAGCGAACCATTGAGATTATTTTGGAACTAGTCATTACCCTGAATCCTATTATTTTGTTCCATTTATGATTATGTATACAAAACTCTGATTACTTGACTCAAGCCTGCATGTGTAATGTTATCAGCTACAAAATAAAACTCAACTGGAAAATATCCTAAACAACTTGTTCCCAAACACCAGAACTGCAACACTCTTCCCGACTACTGAAATTGAGTACAGTCTAGACAGTTTATTTCAGGAAATGGAGTATACTTAAAAAGTCCACTCTACGTCTTCAGGAAATGGAGTAGACTTAAAAAGTCTACTTCATTTTCTGAAGACATCAACTTGATTGGTGAAATGTGTGTCGAATAGAGTGTTGCAGTTCTTGTGTTCGGAACAGTGCTTGTTTTGGCAACGGTTGTATGTTTTAAATGCACAAATTAGGGACTCCATCGATGAAAGAGCATAAGATTGCTTTACGTTGATTTACATTCAACGCTTTCAAGTTACACACTGAGTGACATTCCCCAGGAAATCAAATGCAAACCACAAAATACACATTAGGGTTAGCGAATTTATTAAAATTTCTAACCAAATTACGAAATAACGATCAATACTCACCGTGGATTTGCTTTCGTATAACTTCTTGAGTTCCTCGTAGAGCCACATCTCCACGGCTAGCCTTTTCCTAATGAGACTCATCTGGTGGTGTCCATACTTAGCCGTTAGAAACTTTTCCCTTTTCTCTTTGATTTCTCCCTTGTCCTTGAAGTTGACGTGTAGGCCCGTTTTGGCGGGTGACCTCTCTGACCTTACGTCGGCCAGGATGCCTGCGGGCGTCGTCGCTCCATTAGTGTATCCCCCCGTCACGCCGCATTCCATCTTCAAAGGGTGTTTCTGTAATGGAAATGGGAAATTTGTATTCCGGAGCATTGTGCGTAGTCTCATTTAGACTCGCCGGGTGGTTGGAACAGTGAAACAAAGGAATGAAAATAAACGCAGAGGTCTATGAACTGAAAAAATTTATGAAAATAGTAGTCATTCGAAAACTAGGGATAATTTACGGTTTCAACAAGNTCATTTATACCGTTAAGTTCATACCCAACGACCTCAAAAACTGAATGTTTGGACAGGAACATAGGACCTTTTATTATCGATGATAATTTGACTAGTGATAAATATTTGGATATGTTGGAGCATTGAATAATACCGTGCATCAATAGGGCAATTGAATAGGATATAAATTTATTCGAAAATGAAATAGTTTTTCAGCACGATGGTGCACCTCCTCATTATGCAGCTCCAGTGCGACAATTTTTGGATGATCATTTTCCTGGTCGCTGGATTGGCGTAAGAGGTGCTACAGAATTACCACCAAGGTCTCCGGATCTCACTCCTGTAGATTTCTTTCTATGGGATCATTTGAAGTCTAAAGTGTATGAGATAGAATCAACAACACTGGAAGATTTGAGAGAGAATATCATGAGGCATTGCAGAGAAATAACTCTCGAGATTCTCAACCATGTGAGTGCGGCAATGGAAGCTCATTTGTACCATTGTATGGAAGTTGGTGGAAATGTTTTTGAACATTAACTATATCATTTTTTTTCTCATTGTCCAGTCATCAGATTTTGATTCAAAAATCAATAAAAAATCTTTTTCTGATTTATTGCTTCCATATTTGTTTCTAGAACGAATATTTCAAAATGTTGTCCCCTGTATAATTGTTGACCTGTTGAGTTTTCAACTCAAATAATATGTAGCTCCCGAACCATAAGCTTCAGACCATATGTTTTATACTTTGTTGAAATCTGCTCATCATGGAGCATCTGATAATGCGAAACAATATAGGATGATACATTTAAAAAAATTGGTGATATAGTGACATAGGGGTGCGATAGGGAAAGTAACATAAAATGTGAATATGTCAAAATGTGTCCCCGTGTATACTATTGTTGACGTGTTTTTTTGATTTTCCTGAAAATCATTGTACCAAAAGTTATTCAGGGTGGCTCGTTTTAAATGGAATGTACTGTATATTGGACTATATCGACCATTTAAGAAACACTTACTGAGTAAAGACACGCCTGAAGAAGCTATTGTATAGAGAAACACGTGTTGCATTTTTGTAAAACTGTTTAGTGAAAATCTCACGAGTGTTTCTTGAATACATAATGGATTTTCATCCAGTATCGGCAGATTCCATCACATATACCCACTATATACTGAACTATATCGACTATATCGATAACGGGGTAATGATATACCTTAATCGTTGGTTCATTTAAATATTATTTTGGAGTTATACATTATACTACAATTTATGATACAATATTTTTATAGGAGAAGTGAGAAAGTATTATACAGGGTGTTTCGAGACTTTGGGGTGTTTGTTTCATTTTAGTGTTTGCTCTATGAACACTGAGCTGGTGTTAACTTTATCCTTTGAATGGATTCGTCTTTCCCCTGAATTTTCCAAAAATGAGTAATAAAAGATTCGACATTGTGTTCTTATTTTGAAAAATACTGGAGAAATAAGACTACTTCAGGTGAATAATGAAAATTTTACTCAAATGGAAATATTTTCGAAATGTCATTGTGGTGGGACAGATGTGTTTCCGACAATGTCAAATATTCCAAAATACTG